CCTTTAAATTTATGATTAAATGCAACAAAATAAAAAAATTTAAGGTTCTTCATTTTGAATTAAATTTAAAGTTTACCACTGATATAAAAACAATGTTAATAAAAAGGAGATTTTTTTTGGCAGCAAGGGGGCGAGGGTACAGACCAGTCAGGAATCACTCACAGGCCACGTTTGGCCCGCAGGCCTTGAGTTTGACACATGTAGCCCAAACTAGGGCAAAAATCTTCTAAAGAGTCTAGAGTTGACGGGAGAAACAGAAGGGTGGTACTGTTTCTGCACTCTGCTGCACTATCTTACCTGTTGGGGGCGCCAGACCAGAAATCAGACTCATTTACGCCAAGATTGCAGGGAACCCTTTTCAGTGGTGGTTCTAGGATTTTTCTGATCAAGGGGCCACAATATTCATAGAGGGGCCAAGTATTTGCTCAACATCCTTGCACACAAATCCCTGCTTTAGGTAAGGTGTATCCATTTAACCAGTCACACATGTTCAAACACTTGAAACACAATTTAAAAAAAGCTGGCACAGTAAATCCTCCTGTGGCTCCGCCCCTAGAACCGCCCCTGACCCTTTTCATTAGTAAGAGAGGTACAACTTGAGACTTTCATCTGGTGAGACATCCAATGGTCTCAATCGGGGTGACAGCTTTAGTGAGGACCCGGGCTTCCAGACCACTTCAGAACTGTCTATGGGACAGAACACACACTGATAAAAAGAACTTCAAAAAAATCCTCGTAACAATTTGCACTGACTTTTGTTAAGTAAATTTAAATGCTACAAATTCAAGTAATATTTACTCATTATCTAGTAAAAGTTATTAAGAATATAGTTAAAGATTTGTGAATAAATCAGGTAAATTTTACGTACTTGGATCAAATATGTAACAAGATTTAAAGAAGCAAATTGAGTAAAAATTTACCTGATTTATTCACAAATCTATTGAGATGTTTCAAGCAAATCTTAAAAGTTATAACAGTGCACATGTGTTGAGCAGAATATTGAAGCATGACACCTCACAGCTACAGAGGTGTAGCTCATCTTGTAGTTCAAGACTTCACCACCAGGTGGTGGTTTTGAAGAACCTTTATTGGATTCTTCCTCATGAACAACACAGACAAAGTGAAACTAGAGATGTGAGGTTCGTGAACGATCCGAATCTTTTGAACGGCTCTTTACAACGAACGATAGGAGCCGAATCGCGGGCAGTAACGAGCCATTTGAAGTTTTATTTCTTTTATTCCTCATATAACCTTTATTTTTTCATACTTAAATTGCTCCCGCTTTGCTTTTTCACGGAAAACAGGCGGAGTTGTGGAGTACAGCAGCTCACGGTGAAAGGGGGAGGGGGCTTTCCGCTTGACAAACACATGGTTCCACTCACGTGACGGGATTACGTCATTACGTACGGCTACGTGATGACGTATTTCCCTACGTGATGACGTATTTCCCTACGTGATGACGTATTTCCCTACGTGATGACGTAATACGTTCAAAATCGAACGGCTCTTTTGAACGGCTCTACGAAACAAACGGCTCCCGAAGATCTGGATCCCTTCAAAGAGCCATTTATCCCATCTCTGTTCAACATCCTTGCACACAAATCCCTGGTTTTGGTAAAGTGTGTCCATTTAACCAGCCACACATGTTCAAGCACTTGAAACACTAATTTAAAAAAGCTGGCACAGTAAATCCTCCTGTGGCTCCGCCCTTAGAACCGCCCCTGACCCTTTTCATTAGTAAGAGAGGTACAATTTGAGACACCCAATGGTCTCAACCGGGGTGACAGCTTTAGGACCTGGGCTTCCAGACCACTTCAGAAGTATCTTTGGGACAGAACACAGAGACATGATCGGTAGGGTCAAGAGTAAACAAATCCTAAACTTTCTGTCACAGATTAAATTTTCTACACCATATTTGACAGGAAACAGGATGTAATAAAAGGTGTTTTGAGCACAAAGTGTTTGCCAGGATAACCTGAATGGATCTCCGTCCCTCTGCAGAATGGCCTACATCCTCCACCACTCCACCACCCTCCACCCCCACGGCAGCGGCTACCACCAGATCGACGAAGACGGGCGGAGCCCCGTCAGCCACGGCCACGCCCACACGCTCCTCGGCGCCCACGGCAACACGAGCGTGCGCGCCGCCTTCATCCACGTGGTCGGCGACCTGCTGCAGAGCATTGGCGTCATGGTGGCGGCGACCGTCATCTACTTTCGGGTCAGATATAGATCACATTCTTGTTAGGGTGAGGCTGACACGTCAGTTTGATCAGATTGATCTGTAGAAGAATATCCAGCTATTATGACTCGTGTTTAGTTCTTTATTTTAATTTCTGTGAGGACATTAGGAACCTTCGGGCATAAAATACCATAAAGGCCTTAAAAGTACACACAAATTAAATGAAGTACTGCTTTTGAACCCTTTAGAGTAAATTAACAAGCTTGGTCTCTTTTTAAAGCTAATAATCTGAATGTTTAACTTCAGAACTGTAACTTGTATTTATTGAAGTATAATACGCAAAAATCAAGATATTTTTCTCCCTAAATTTTTATGTTTTTATTTAAAAAGTATCACAGAACATGAAGGGAATGAGATATCAAACAAATTTCACTGGGCTAAAATATTAATTCTCAACTATTACCAGTTCAAATTTGGTAACAGTAGTATAAAATATGAATATTTGAGACATAGTACAATCCAGCATGTCTCATTTGCATATTTGTACACCTTTACAATTACGTCCAGACTGTACAGTTTGTGTAAAACATTTCAAAATGCTTCAACACAGGGACTTCACTCTGGGCTCAAATTAAAGATAAAACTCCCACAAAACACATTCTACCATCCATATTTACTCACAGCATGATTAAATTAAAATATATATATTAATGTTCAGAAATATGTTGACCAACTGGAGTACGTTCAGCCAAATTTCCACCAATAAACAGCCAAAGCACAAGAATAAACAAATATATCCTTATTTGTTTCAAAGCATTAACATTCCACACAGCTTATAAAACCACCAGCAGTGAAAAAATATTTGTTTTTCACTCACATTTGATGCATATTTGTCCTCAAATATGACGAAATTAGCGATTCAAAATGGCCGACGGGAAGCGTTTTTATCCACATTTTAACTTCTCCTGGCCACAAAAATCACTTTTCCATGTCTTGAAGCACTCGAAACACTTTAATAACAAATATATTTTCATCTTATCAGCAGGTTTGATCAGCTAACTGGACAAAAAACGATGTATATACAATATATATACCAAATGAAAGGTACAGTGATTGGCTACAGCTGTGGCATCAGAACGAAGCTCGGAGCTGATTGGCCGATTCTACAGTCAATCAAACCCAAGATGACGAAAACTGGAAGTTGGTCACTTCTCACATATTATTGGCTCTGGACAGCCGATACTTGAACCCAGTTGGTCAAATGAGGTGTCAATCAAAAGAGGAGGGCCTAGACGTCCATTTTGATGCATTGAACACGGACACAGGATGAACAGAAACACAGAACATTTCAAAATAAAATGAAACAAAAACGGCACGCAGGCGTTCTGCTGAATGTTAACAGGCTTTAGTCAATAACGTTCATATTGATCAAATAATAAGGTTGATAATACCAAACACTAAGACTTGAGTGCAGCAAGAAGTAATATACTGGTTAAAAACACAAATTCATGAATAAATACCTCTGCTGTCTTGCAAGATGTTAGTTTCTTTGTTTATGCCCTGAGTGTTTTATTAGGTTGCTACTCAGGAAAACACCATCTGACTGTTTTACTCACTCTTTAAAAAGTCTCTTTTTGCTCTTTCAGCCTGAATATAAAGTTGCAGATCCCATCTGTACATTCCTGTTTTCTGTCTTCGTCCTTTTCACCACCCTCACCATCCTCAGAGAYGTCTTCAGGATACTTATGGAAGGTACCGGACTGAGAAATAATTAATATCTGATTGCTCTCATATAAAATATGACGTACTGTGAAGGATTTGTGGTGTGATTTCAGCCATTGTTATTTTGGTCTCCAAACCCAGCCGGTCAAGGCCGCCTGTCCTGAGCCTGATTCTGCTCAGAGGTTTATAGTAACTAAGGACATTTACTGCGTATACAGTACTTAAGTAGTTTTTTTTGAGGATTTGTAATTTTACATAGTATTTTTAAATAGCTACTTTTACTTTTATTTTGTTACATTTTAAAGCTAAAAATGATACCTTTACTTCTTTACTTTAAATTGTAACACCTAGTTACTTGTTACAAATTAAATATGTTTGAACTCATCATGAAAGAAAATGTTTCTGCTCTAAAAAAATGAAGTGTTGAATTTACTCAAAGTCATGTCAGCTGGCTCCACTAAGCCTAGATGAGTAAATTGAGCAAAGAAAAAACAAATATTGCTCAACCTGGTTTAGAAGAACCAGTTTGGTTCAGTAAATTCAACAGTTTATTTCTTAGCGAGTGTGTAAAAGTACTTTTACTTTCCCAATTTTTGTGAACAGTTTTATGACTTTTACTTGAGTAGTTTTCTCATCAGTGAAATGTACTTTTACCAAAGCCGTTTTCTGTTCATGCAGTTTTACTTTTACTTAGTTGTTTTTTTCACATACTTCATAGACCTCTGGTTCTGCTGGAGGTTTCTTATGGGGTGCCGTTTGTAAAGTTACACAGTCAAAAATTACCACCAATGTTTTTGTTTTATTTAGCTTTTTATAAGAAAAAAAGAACAGATTTATTTTTCAAAGTCAGTTTTTCACCATATGATTCACACATTTAGAAATGTCAGTTTATAAACTAAATATTTAACTTACAAATTAAATATTTAGTTAACAAGCTAAATGTTTAACTTGTGACTTAAATATTTAGCTAGCTACCTAAAAATTTAAGTTAAAGATCAAAATATTTAAGTTAAATATTTAGGTATCTAGCTAAATATTTATGTTGTTAAGTAAATTTTTAATTTTTGACTGTGTAACGTTACAAACAGCAGCCCACAGTAGAACTAGTAAAATATGTAATAAATGTATTTGAATGTTTGAAGGAAGCAGTCACTGACAGCTGATTAACTGTGAGCTGAGCCAGTGTTACGACCTGACTTATAAAACACAACAACACAAAAAGAGTCAGTGTTTCACAGGTACTGACACACACTGACTGACTGCTGCTCACTGTTTAACACTAACTGTTCACGGTGCAGGGCAGCCTGTCTGTCAACACAAACACTCATCATTGTTCTACCTGTTTCTTCAGCAGGTGGACATCTTGTTTACACTCATCTTCTTCCCAGTGAGAGGACAGATGATCCTCCAGATGCTCTCTGATGTAGGGAAATAAGACATCCTGAAAAATGTGACAAAATACAGACTTTACTTCCTTTTTGAAAGGATGATAATGTGTTTATTTCATGATAAAAGATAATACAAAGAAGTTTTCAATGTAAAGAACTAAAAACACCGGTAACATGGATGAAAATAAAGAAAGTGAAACTGTGAAACATCACAACCTTCTCACAGTAAAAACAAAAAACTCACCTTAACAAATGTGATTGGAGTGGTGGTTCCCTCGATGTCCAATAAGACAGCTGTTGTTCTGGCAGGTAGAGACACAGAGGCCATGTTAGCTGTCAACACTGATCTTTAGCTGATGTTTCCTGTCAACACTGATCTTTAGCTGATGTTAGCTTAGCCTCGGCTGGAAACAAAGAGTGATGTAAGAGCCGGGTCGTCTCTGCTCCTCCACACCACACAGATCCGACACAGCGTAGATTAACACGGAGCTACAGTCTGATCAGATCTGCTCTGGTTGTGTTTTGGGTCAGAACATGTCAGACAGCAGCTCGCTGGTACTTCTCCCTCACAAAGCACTGACTGCTCACATGTTCTGCTCCAGGTCGTCCTCCAGCCCAGCAGATGGCGCTCTGCTGCTTCCGCTTCTTTTCTTTGGACAAACCAACTCAAACATGTGTTAGCGCCATCTGC